ATTGGGTAATGAATATCATGGCGATTTCTATGAGGTGAAATCAAATCCTGTGATTGATTTCATGATGTGACCAAGATTTGAATAGCTCTCATCTCTGTCGCTAATCTTCTGCAACTTCTAATTGAATCAGTCATTACTTTCTAAAAATTATTTGTATTTTCCTCTCTTCTGGGATGTAAACGTACTTATTTTCACTGTTAGATTGGTTTTGTTTCATTTAACAGTTTGAATCATTCAATTTCAACTCTTTATGGTTTGCTGGATTTGATCCTCTAAATATATAAACAATTTATCATTGTATAATTCTTTACGAAAGTTGTTAAATGGCGAAGCAGGGAATCATTCAGAAACAGAGAAAATCCAAAACATATGATTTCATAATAATATTAAAATGGTTCTTCAGTAAGCTTTCTACTTTAATCACTTTCTACTCAACAGCTTTACTTGCAAACCAATTTATGTTCATGTCGCTTCCTAAACACGATGATTCGTTGGGTGGCACAAGGATTTTGTAAATGAGTTCATATTTATAAAAGGGTTAACTTTAAATGGTTCATGTAAAATAATTTATTTCTTAAAAAAATAAATTAACCCCATAGAGTTTCTCCACTTCTTGGACTCTGAACCTTTTAAAGAACTGCAGTTGAAGGAAACTGTAGTTCGAACTTTGAAGTTTAGTTTAAGCAGAGCCAGGGTTGACTATGGAATATTAAATTATCTGGATAAAGTACAAAACAATGCAGCTGAAAATAATATAATATTAAAAAATTGAGATCTAAAATTCCTATTTTTCTGCCATGTTTGCGGATTAAGCTACGTTGACTTAAACACTTTACAGAAACTTATCTGGGTTTTGATTCTGCGTAGAGAATTTCAAAGCCACTGTATAGGATTTTAGCTTCTTTCTTCTCCACTTTACAGCTTTCAAGTTCGTGGTCCCTGTAAGTGAAGAGTTTGAAGATGGGAAAATCCAAGGAACTTCTGAAGTTAAGCACGTGGAGATGCTTTCAGAGGCCGGCATTTGTCGTGGGTAGCTTTGTTTTTCTCATTTCAATTGCTTCCTTGTCCAAGTTGTACACTCTCTCTTCTCTCAACATCTCTGATAATTTCTGCAAAAGAATTAACCAGGGTCAAGCAATAAGAACAGGAAGAAGCCAAGGGAGAATTATTCTGGAAACTGTTATTCAGAAAATTAATCAAGAAATGGATTATTTGAAAAATCTGCCCGTTGAATCATCATCCTCTTCTTCAACATCCAAACTGCGGCACAGTATTTTTCTTGCAGATATTCTGGGACTTATTGAATCAGTACATTCATCTCTGGTTGAAGAAGAGATTGATCAAGATCAGAACACCAACACCAGAGTTGCCCATCCTTTAGTAAATCCAAAGCAGGAACCTGGTGGGCTTGCAGATTTCTTTCTGGTAGAAGAAATCAGAAAATATGTCAGAATCAAGCCGAACAGATTAGGAAAACAGAACTTCATGGGAGCTAATGGCACTTTCACAAGCATTGGCCATGCCTGTTTTTCCATGAAGAAAGAACTTGAAGAGTACATGGACTACGACATAGGTGAAATCTGCAATGACGATTGGAAACTAGCTCAAATGCTAATGGTAAACGGCTGTGATCCTCTACCAAGAAGAAGATGCTTCTCCAGAGCTCCGAAGCTATACAGCAAGCCATTCCCAATTAATGAATCGATGTGGAAGCTCCCTGATGATCGAAATGTAAGATGGAGTCAATACAGATGCAAGAACTTCTCTTGCCTGGCCAGCAATATCACCCGCAAAGGCTTCTTCAAATGTGCAGATTGCTTCAATCTCACCAACCATGAATTCCCCAGATGGATTAAACAAGTCGATTTGGATCCGGAAACGAACCAAACCGCAGATTTCTTGATCCTGGAAGTTCTTGACATGAAGCCAGGAGAGATCAGAATTGGTTTAGACTTCAGTGTAGGAACTGGGACTTTTGCAGCAAGAATGAGAGACTTCAATGTCACAATTGTATCTGCAACTATCAATCTTGGAGCCCCCTTTAACGAAATCATTGCGCTTCGAGGAGTAATCCCCCTTTACTTGACAGTAAATCAGCGGCTACCATTCTTCGATAACACGCTGGACATAATCCATACCACAAGATTTCTTGATGGTTGGATTGATTTGGTACTCCTGGACTTTGTATTGTATGATTGGGATAGAGTTTTGAGACCAGGAGGTCTGCTGTGGATCGATAGCTTTTTCTGTGCAAAGGAGGATTTGGATGATTATTTGGAAGCATTTAAGAGTTTGAGATACAAGAAGCATAGATGGGTGGTTGTTCCTAAACGAGATAAAGATGAAACAGAGGTTTTCTTTTCTGCTCTACTGGAGAAGCCACCAAGACCTTTCAGATGATCTCAAGAAAAGAACAAGTCTGGTTTCTTCATTACCAGATTGTAATTCTTCATTGAAATTTTTTACCCAGAAAAATATTGAGTTTAATTAGTGAATAAAAATTAAAAGCTAGATCACATTAAAAAAGCTGTTCTTGGATTAATTTCAATAATTACTTGCACTTAATTTGCCTTCATGCACAACTCATTTCATCGTTTTAAATAAAAATTTAGACGTAACATTCATATGAATGGGCGGGGCTCAACAGCCCAACAAGAACCTTCTGTCTGCAAGAGAAGGCTAGCTGTCTGAGGACGAAAACGAACAAGACCAAGAACCAGTACCAGACGTCATTTCTGATCAATGCTACCATACCTTCACAGATGAAGAAAATGAAAGAAATGAGAAAACAACCATCATCAAACCCATCTTCACAGTAATAATATGAACATATTTTGGCGAAGCAAAAACCGATCAAACATTAGACTGTACCTCTATCGTATATCATTAATTTCCAACACATGAATGAGATGAATTTCGCATATATCCAACCCGGAATAGCAAGAAGATGAGCACTCCTGTAAAACCTTTAATTCTACCTATATATATATATATATATATATATATTACTACGAATTAACTGGTACTAATGTATTATATCCACTCTGTATATATATGGAAGAGTAGTAGAGCTAGAAGATGTCATTAACAATGGGCGCCATTAGAGGTACCTCTTGGCTTGAATCGACTGGCTAGAGATATCAACAGCCATTTTCACTGTTAAGTTCCATACGTTCACCCTCCCTCCGATTCTCAAGTAGCTGCTCAGAGGCAACGACCCGACCCGACCTGACATCCGAAAATAATTATAGTTTTTAAATTTAAATATAATTACCTAAAAATCTTTTAACTAAAAGTTTGTTAATTTAAAGCACTTCTTCATTTTAATCCATGTTATTTTTTTTTTTTGAAGTATAAACATATGATCTTTTCTAAAAAAATGACTAAACATATTATCTTAGAACAATATTAATTTTGAAATTCCTGAAACACCCATGAAAATAGTCATAACTTTGCACTTCTTGTTTTTTATTTTTGATATCTATGTAATTTTTTAAATTCTCGTAATAATGTTAAAACCTGAATTTAAAAATTAATTTATCGAGATATAAAACAAAAAATTATTGCTCATGAGATAATAAAGTTGTGGACCAAAACTTTTAAAAAATTATTTAGCTTTCAACAACTTCAGAATTATTTCTAGTTATTTTTCTCTTGAATTTGTAATACTTTAATTTTGTTTAGATTAAGTTTTTTTTCTTTTTAGTTTTAGACAAAATTTTAAAAATAAAAAATTAGTTAGTATTATCATTTATTAATATATTTATATGGCCTATTTGTTATAATAAAAAAAAGTAATTTTCAAATCAATAAATTTGTAAATCTAAACAAGCAATCTTGTATTGAATCAATGAGAAATATAAACGGAAGTATAACTAGATCCATAACAGAAGAATTATTTGCATCCGGTGATAGAATCTTTTAAATTAACATAATGCATCAAAAGCTAATTTTTTATGATAATAAGATTTCAGAAAAATAAAATGATAAACTTGTTATTCGAGAACTATAGCTATTTTTTATATCAATAAATTTTTATAATTTTCATTTCATCAATCATAAAATGAGAATATTACAAAAATAGTATATGCTCATTATAAGCTCATACTTAAACCTGATGCATTAACATTCAATACTGTTTGACTGTATTTGATCACTTTTAGACGGGCCAATTAAACTAATAATCTCATACGCATATCGATATCCACATTAAGCCTACACGTCACAAAAAATCTAACAATCTCTCACTTGGGCTTTATGTGATATTTTAACTGTGTTAAATGACTATAAAAGTACTCATAACTGTGTTATTTATGTCTGAATGCATCAGCAAACAATATCGTCAATCGATCATAACGACATAGGATCAAAACGGCCTTTACTACAGTTAACTTAGTTAAACCCATCAATGATCATGTATATCAGTATAACTGAACGACATAGATCAAACTTGGATGTGCAACATGAAAATTACATACTATATAATCTAAGTATGCCTATTTCTAACTGGTCCTGCTTTAACTTTAGTGAGATCACCTAGAAGAAAATTCAGAGATAATATGCAATCCAAAAAATTAAAACATAATAACTGAAATGAAATCATATAACCATAAACCAAACTACTAAGATTATGACATTTCTTATAAAATAAATGCAATTATGGTACAAGACTCCTACTGAACCTATATATCATATAAGGATATAACACTCATATGAGCAGTATGCTCATGAAAGACCTTAGGTGGTAATCCCTTAGTGAGCGGATCCACAATCATAGAGTTTGTTCTAATGTGTTCTATCGATATCTACTTACTCTTAACTCTTTATTTAACAACGAGAAACTTGATATCTATATATTTTGACTTCGTCGAACTCCTGTTGTTGTTGAAATACATAACTGCTGACTTATTGTCATAAAATAACATTAATGATCTTTCTATGACATCAATAATACGCAGCTCAGCGATAAAATTTCGCAGCCATATTTTATGATTGGATACCTCATAACAAGCTATAAACTCTACTGCCATAGTAGAAGATACTACAACTGTTTGCTTAACACTCTTTCAGGAGATAGTTCCCTCAGCAAATAAGTAGATATAGCCTGATGTAGATTTTCTACTATCTTGACATCCGGTGAAATTAGAATGAGAATAACCAATGATCTCCAACTAATCTAACCTCCTGTATGTGAGCATATAATATTTTATTCTTTGTAAATATCGTATAACACGTTTGACTGTTTTTCAATGATTCATACGTGGATTGCTAAAATATCTGTCTAACATTCTAACAATATACACAGTATCCTGATGCGTAGAAACCTGTGCATATATAAGACTCCCTAAAGTTGAAGCACAAAAAATCGTTTGTATCTTTGTAGTCTCTAGGTCATTATTGGGACATTGACTTAGAGTAAACTTGTCTCATTTAGACACAGAGGAGTCACTTTATTTACAATCCTGCATGCCAAACTTTTTAAGAACTTTTTTGATATAACTCTTTTGTGATAATTCAAGCATACCCTGTAACACCCAAAAATTTGTATTTTAATTTATTAGAAATTTTGTTTAATTTTTTTCTATTTTAATATTTAATTCATAAAATTTTAATTTAATTTAATTTAATTTAATTTAAATTAATAGAAATAAAAATAATAAAAATAATAAAATAGGGTAAAATTATTTTTGGGATTTAATTGAAATTGATTTTGGGAAAAAAGGGTGAAAATTTAGATTTTGGGAGTGTTTTTGAAAAGAAAATAAAAAACCAGAGGTCAAAACGCAATTTAGAAAAATAGTGCCACGTCAATAGCCATGGCAGCAGCCCGATCAGCAGCCCCGGCCTATTAGGACACGTCGCGTGGCAAGGACGCTGACGCGAGAAGCCACGCGGGATGAAGACACGTTGGCGATCCGCGTGTGCACTATCGGATGACCCATATCCATTTCCGCGCACATGGACGGTCCAGATCAAAGGCGCGCGTGGACAGCCCAGATCTCACGCATGTGGACGACCCAGATTTATTCCCATTTTAATCGCGATTGGACGGCTCAGATTAAATCGTGATGGACGGCTGAGATTAAAAGGGAAAAGTTATAAATAACCTCACCCACACCCAACCCCAAACCCTAGCCGCCAGTACCCTCACCGGAGAAGAAGAACCAATCACTGGAGGAGCCGGCCGCCGCCACCTGCCGCCGCATCGGAGGATTTTTCGACTGCCAAACGAGGTAAATTTTCTTCCCTTGGCTCGTTTTTTGATGCTGAATCCGCCTATGGCTAAATCAGAGCCAAATCACCGGTCAATCAGCCGAAAAATACCGCCGAAGTCCAGCGGCGCTGCCGCGGTTTCCCTCGATTTTTACCTCCGATGAGACCCTTTCCGGTTCCCGTTCGATGCAATTTTTACACCACTGTGATCACCGTCCTTTTCTCTACAGGTTGACCAAAGCAAAACATCAAATCACGACTCGCGCCGAAGAAGCTGCCGCACCCGAGAGCTCCACCGCAGGTAAGTCTCAGTTTTTTGTGATTTTTTGGCCCACCGAGGGCCCTAGGGTTGTTTTATCGCAGGAACCAATACAAGTTTGGTCGAATTTGGTTGAAAACGGCCAACTCGAGGCGGATCGCCGCTGCGGGCGGCAGTGCCATCGCCGGAGCACGGCAGAGCCGCCGTGCCGAAATTTTGATATTTTTCGAAAGGGCCCTGGGTGTGATTTGGGGTTTTTTGGGGACATGCGCAGGTACCGAAAGCGTGTTTCAGTTCCTAGGAGAAAATTCAGGAAATCTAGGGACTGCCCGTAGGCGCAGTGTAAAGCCGATTTCAGACTCCGAAACAAGTAAGGATTTCTCACCCTATTTCCTATCACGGTATTAAAGTTCAATAAATGATAAAACGGTATTCGTGAAATTAATGGATGTGTATAATTGCTTAAGGTTGTTAATGGAGCCCGAATCTGGTGTATTTGTCGGTCAGTTGTTGTTTGATCTATTTTACAGTTTTAAATACAGTGTGGTACTTGATGTGTTTATTTTATGGTTTCATATGCATAAATCATGGTTTCATTTATTATGGTTTGAATTATGGTGAACCCGATGTTGTGTTGTTTGTTTGGTGTTCATTACTGGTTTACGTGTTTATGTTTGATTTGATAATTGAGACCAAGGAAAATAGAAAAAGGTTATGTGAATTGATAAATGGATAATGTGGACAGCTTGACTAGATATCTTGGGAGATGGTGGACGGACCGGGTC